TGAACCACCAGGAAGATGACAATACATATGACCCTAGGGACTGATCCTGCTGACATATACTCTTGATATGATGTATATACTAGTAAAGAGATGTTAGAAATAATATTCACCAGTCTATATACCTAAACACTAAAAAATGCGAACTGGTTTATGTTTTTTGAGAGGTATTCATGAATTTAACATATCTACTGATGTAGGACACTACAGAGGCTCAAACAAGCGGTGTAATATATTCATTAACACTCTAATATATGATATATACAGTCAGAATTGCTTCCCTGCTAAAGGGGCAAAAAAGCGAATATGTTTTAGTCCTGGGATGCACATATTGTAGTCAGTACTGTAGACTGCTGTACAAGCTCTCAGACAATGAAAAAAGCGGTCTATTGTATCATTTTATGTATGTACATGCCATTCTACTACTTATATACATGAGTGAGCAAGGGGAAAGCTCTGGTGCAGCAGTAGAGCCAGGGAGGTATGTGGGAATAGTGAGATTATTGGAATATCCCAATTTGGTAATTTTTCCGGTGGTAGCGCTATTCTTGGAAGCCTGAGAAAAACATTTCCAGTAGCATCGAGATCACAAGAGAGATCCCGATCTTTAGAACCAGTGAGGCATCGTGCCTGTTAAGCTTCATGAAGCTTCATGTTGGTGACTCTGAGACAAACTTACAAAATGTACTGTGTATAGTTAGACATGGTTAAGTATCACCCTGCCATGAACAGGTGAGGTTGAGTATATGCTGCATCAGGAGATCTTGGATGGCACTCAGCACCGGTAGGTGCATAGCGCTGCGGGATTAGTTGTGATATGCTCAGCTAGTGCTCATCAGTGAACCGGTGAAGGTTTTAGAAAGGTATATATGACGATATATAGCACATAATCACAAGAACCAGCATAATTCTGCTATCGAGTATCACATTGTTATATTTGACTTTGTAGAGGAAAGGACATTTCCTGGTTGCAGTACAAAGGATTATGATTGGGAAAAGGTCCTGGTATCCCTCACACTCAAACTTGGAGGAATTTGCGTCGTGCTTCCACTATTAACACCACCTTCTTGAAATGGTTGACTCTCGTCTAGTGCATGCCAATCTTCCATGTAAGAACGAGCGCCTGTATCTCCTAGGCGACGTGAATGTGCTCATCGAGCGAGCGGGCCTAAATTTGCGTCCTGCTTCAGCTATTATCAATTCCTTATTGGAACGGTTGATTTCCCTGAGGTGTGTGTCAATTTTGAAGCCAAGAATGAAAGTGGATACCTTCTAGAGAACAATGGCTTGTTCACCGAGTAACCGAGAATAAATGTATGTCGCTTGGTGAGCGAGAATAAATATATGTTGTTGTTCACACACTGACTGGCGGTTACTCTACTTGTGAAGAATGATGATATTTGCTCAGCGAGCGAGGGTCGGTATGTTGTCGCTGGGGTGGGCGAGAACGTTAATGTAAGTACTGCTTTGAAATGATGGTCCGCTATATATCGATTGGGGATGTGTGGGAATAAGCTTTACCTTTGCTTAGCAGCGAAACATGTTCATCAAGCGTGTGAGAATCAATATACCTCTTGCTTTGAGTTCCTACGCGACCTTATACGTTTATTCAATGACTAGCAGATGCATTATACTTGTGAAAACCGACGATGTGTTTACCGAGTGAGCGAAAATAAAAGTATGTACTGCTCTGAATTTTGACGGTATCTGCTCTGATTTCTAAGGATGGTACTTTATATTGAACTAGGAATTCACGCGTAACGATTCATGTGTCGCGCACAGAGCAAGTACCACCAAGCAACCTATATGTCTCGCCACGCATCAACGTACTGCGTGGATTTTGGCATTTCAGGAGTAAGTCTTTATGTTTGTATTTTGGAGATGTCTTATATCTTCCGCCACACATCAGCGCGCTGCGTGTCTTTTCACCTTTCAGGAGGATGTTTTTCCGCGTCGATTCGAGAGCCCGGCGACCCAGCTTCCCACATTTCAGGAGTAAGTCTTTATGTTTGTATTCTGGAGATGTCATACATCTTCCGCCACACATCAGCGCGCTGCGTGTCTTTTCGCCTTTCAGGAGGATGTTTTTCCGCGTCGATTCGAGAGCCCGGCGACCCAGTTTCCCACATTTCAGGAGTAAGTCTTTATGTTTGTATTCTGGAGATGTCTTACATCTTCCGCCACACATCAGCGCGCTGCGTGTCTTTTCGCCTTTCAGGAGGATGTTTTTACGTGTGGATTTTGGAGCCACCTTGTATGCTTCGCCGCGCATCAGCGCAGTTCATTTCTTTTCGCACTTCAAGAGGAAGTCTTTATGCGTGGATTTTGGAGCCACCTTGTATGCTTTGCCGCGCATCAGCGCAGTTCATTTCTTTTCGCATTTCAAGAAGAAGTCTTTATGCGTGGATTTGGAGCAATTTTATTATACTTTATGCGTGGATGTGGGACCCTCTCGTGTATTCGGAACATTAGGTATTCATTTTATATTGCAAACACAAGCAGGCAGATATAGAACCATAGAACTTGAGTTGTGCTCCAGAACATTGATTTATTTATTGCAAACTAATTAGCAAACAAAGGTATAAGAGATCTCATACAGATCACAGAGCTATATATCTATGGTGAATCAAACGCAGCGTCATCACGCAGTTCTCTCTGCCTTGCGAGAGCATTGACGGACATGTTGGCCTTCATCACGTCGCTAAGTTCACCTCGGCGGTTCCTCCCGAAAACTTTTCTGAAAACAAAGTTCTGGAAAGGCTTTGATTGGAGGGTAAACAACGCACCTGGTCCACCATTCGAGAAGTTTGTCCACCCTCCGCCGCGCTTCTCGACCAGGGGCCCTTTCGAAGAAGTCCACGATGGTCCGCCAAAACTGTTCGTAGTCGAAGTCGCCATCCATGGACCGCCATGAGGTAACGGAAGAAAGTGCGAATCGCACCTGCCAGTATGTAGTGAAGATGTAGAATAAATTTGACCAAACATTATAACTTACTTGGCATGCAATGTATGCGATCGAGCGAGGAGTGACTTTTTCCATCTGAATGATCTGTGCCACGTGTTTTTTGACCTTGATTACGGATAGAGACTTCTTAGCCCGTCGGTTGTTGCTGATGACATCTGCGCCGTCACCGTCGCCGTCGACATCTTTTGCTGATGAAGGAGACGTGAACACGGCCTTGTAACCCTGAAACATAAGTTAGTTTACTGTCAAGTTGCCTCGGTGCAACAAACCTGGATGAGAATCTTGCCTTTGAAAAGACCTTCCTCAAGGTCGTCCGGATTAGTAGTGTACTTGTCGTACAAGTAAGCGGGAAAGGATAGATCTGTGACGATATGCCCATCTGAGCAATTTCTGATTCCTGCCCTCACTCTGGTGAACGGTGAGCGTTGTCTCTCGGGATATCAAGGGTACATCGACTTACTCTGGGTTATTCCAATCAAGCTCGGCCGGACAGAGTAACCTCCCACATACATCATGAGTGAATCCACGGGAATGTTTATCGTCGGGGTCAACGAGGGAAACCGGCTTGAATTCACGATTGACCCATTCTGAAACGAGAGTCTTCAGTTTCGAGGTGTCGTCTCCTCGAGCGCTATCAGCCCTCTGTCGAAGCTAGACAAAGACTCAGCTATGACACAAACAGTCGATATTATTGAACAAACCATTTTCAACATGTGCGAGTACTCCTCGTACTCCATCTCTGAACCCTTCTTGTAAAACCACGGCAAGGTTCTGGTGAGTGTGGAGTAACCTATTTGCAGTCGATCCTGTCTATGTAACCGTGTTAATAAACAGTGTGCACGAACAAAGGGGAAAATACTTACTCGATGGTAGTATCTGGGTCATCGGACTCCTCGCATCTTCTGTCGTTTTCGGTGATGAGGTCCTCGATACTGTCGAACAGGGCGACAACACGCCTGATTGCTCTTCCTTTAGCGACATACCAGATCGTTTGCCTAACAGATAGTAAGCAATGCAACCAAATACGTGTGATAGCGGCTGCACCTTTCCTTGACTGCATGCCCCGACTGCAGGATCTCCAGCTTCTCCTCCAGCTGAGCGATTTTCCGTCGCTGCAGAGCTTGCACATGTGCCGCTACTGCTTGAGATTGTTGTGGCTGAACGTTACCTCCGTCCAGCCGGTTCTCGATGTGCGATTTGCTGCCTTCGCCATCGCCATCGATGTGCGACTCGGAGGTGTTGCCCTCGTTTTGCTGGTCCTCGACATGCGACATAGCGGCAGGGACTCAAATTGGCTAGAGAACGAATAAAACAGTCAAGCCTGAGGGATAAGATAAAGGGTGAGCGAGGAATGAAGCTAACCAGGCCAGCTCGCATTTTATATGTTGGTCAAGACTAGTGCTAGTTGCCTAAAAAGAAATCGCGCTAGCACATGCGATTAAGTCGCTTGAACAGATACCTAATTAGGGAGATTATTAACGGTGCAAAATAAGTTTAACGGCTGTTTGAAGATCAGGGTCACCTCCTGCAGGCTGGTGCCGTCATGTGAGATTGCACATATAGATGCGGCGGACAGATTCGCAATACCCTGCGGATTAGTAGGTGTAAACGCAATCACCTAAATAGGGTACAACAGAAAAACCTTAGTACAGTTATGATTGCTCATGTCTAACTTCATGGCGGCCACGTCGGGCAAACGAGGTGCCGCGATAGAACTTGCTAGCGGTGTAGCAAATATAGACCGCGAGAACTGATATGATGTTGACTCAGACATAAGTCCTCGTGAATTGAACTCGTTGATAAAAGAACTAACGAGTGCAATAATTGTACATTGTTTTGGTGGAGGCAAATTCCGAAGCGACTGAGGTTCGCAGGACGGACGCATAGTGAGACTGATTACGAGTCTAGAAGTCACCGGTGATCGAGGGCAAGGACAAATGTTGTCATCAACAGGAGGACACGATATAACCATGATATAATCGTCCCCCAAGATCTGACTCAAAAAGTCATTTTTCAGTGTCACGGTAGCATGCTGAGCATGTGCTTGACTTACCAACGACGTTCTAAATTTGTAAGCAGGCCATTCACCAAAGAAACGCAAGGCCGGTTTTACTAGTATCAATGCGGCTTAACGCATTCGGTTCGGAAAGGCACTGAACGTGGGCGTCAGCATTGACGAGAAGAACGAACTTGAAATAAGCTGGCGGCATGGAAGCATGGAAGACTGGAAGCTGGAAGGTAAGTATGTGTTTCTCCTTTCAAATAGTAGCGAGTCATGCGTACTTCAGAGTCACAGAGAAATTGGCGGCGATTTGTGCCACAGCCGCCGCATTCACGTCCCGAAGCCATCGCTGTGTCGGTAGATCCCGATGCACACTGCCCGGTTCATCACGACGGCAAGCATCAGACAATTCAGCGTGTGGAAAACGAAGAGGTTAGTATTACTATCTGGTATCAAGAAATTATATAAAGCTCCTAGTAGACCTGGAAATACAAAAGATCAGCCGGATGGCTGGAACCGTGGCTGTCTTGCTAGTGTGTACCCTGGTCCAGGCAGTACTACCTGAGTACGTATTCTTCCAGATGACTTCGGGTTGATAGAATTGATTCGATCGTGTCATCAGAGCCAATGAGTCAGAACGGTGACCTTCTCTCTGAGTGGCGGCAGCCTAGCTTCATGAGCATCGGACCTCAATGGACTAGTAGTACCACTGCAACAGTCACGGTATACTCAATCGTGTCAGTATCTGTTGTGACATTATAAAGTGATGCGGACAAAGTTCAGGGTAAGATGACAAGTACTATGAAAATATTGTCCTTCTACTTTCCCCACCGGTTCACTGATGGTCCAATGTCGGCCCAATACCACTGTTCAACTCTTCTTCGCCATCCGTTCTTCAGCCAACTTTTCTCGTTCTTTACCATATTCGATTATATTGAGAACTGTCTGCCAGTCGGTGCCTGTTTTCTCCCGGCAGATGCGCTTCACAACTGGAGCAAAATTCTGACATACGTCATGATTCTCCGAGTCCTTGATGGTGTCATGATCGCCATTAACTTGAACATCGTCGATTTTTCTTTTGTAACTCTGGCGAGCCGTATTGGTCCAGGTAATAGTACGAGAAACTTGAGCTCCTATTCCTATCATCTCACCACCTACTTGGCTAGATTCGGCTTCCTGACCAAGTCGTCAGTACAACAAAATCATAGCATATAGCAGCTACGCTGAAAACTCGCCGTTCTTTTGCTTTCCTTCTGTTTATCGGGCTCCACGATAATAGTCTTGGTGGCATGTGATATACTCGATGAGTGTTCTTTCTTCAAGTTCTTCATTGCGGCTCTGTCAACATCTTTCCAGACTTCAATCTTGTAATTCTGCTCTGTGGTATATGGTTTGCGCTCACCGACGACTCTCGCCAGCTGCAACTTGGAGCCACTCTGAGTCAGTGCAACACCTCCGAAGTCATTGCGGCTGCGAGATATGTCACGGTAAGTCTCCTTCTCCTCATTGGCGTGTTGAAGAGCAGTCGACACGGGTGACTTAAATTATGCGCCATGTCCAGGTCAGTAGCGCCCCGCATGGCGGTGTGAGTAATCACCTGAGGATCGGTATAACGACTCAAGGCTATATCCGGGTTTTCCATCTTGAAGTGAGTCGGGCCTGTGTTCGGTGGGTTTTAGTTGTCGATCCGAAAACTCAAAGCTGGCCCCGGTGAGTTCTTATACAAACTTTTTCTTCATTCCGTGACGCACTATTTTCGGGTAGATTAGAGTATGCAAGTCTGATACTATATCAAGTAGGACACACAGGCGCAACAGAGCCTGCGATCGGGGCCTAATTGGGGAGGACAAGTACACAACCGACGCGATTATCACTGTATGCCAAATTGCTACTACTTGTCTGAAATTTCTCTATCGAAAAAATCTATAATGATTCGTAGCACTGAGTGAGACGTAACGCCGTAGTCATGCCACACTGAGTCAAGCAGGATTCAGACAGCTACAAAGAAATACTACTCGGTACGCAAAGCAACTAGTACTACTTGTAGTTGTAGGCCACACGTACCACACATAATGAGTGAGCGGTTACTAGTACCATTTTTGGTATTTGGATATTGTATGAAGTCACCCTGAATCCCGAGTCACTAGACTGGCAGCAGGTACGCTGGACCATTTTTGGGCATCGGAGTTGGTTGCAAAGTGTGCAAGCCACCGTCATTACCTTACGTTCTAGTGTTCAATCAAGTCACATACTACTACATAGTTACCGGTACACCAACTTGCTTACGGAGTGTCATGAATCACTGGCAGTACAGCAGATGATTTGTGCTATCACATGACGATCATCACAGAGCTTAAGCTGGGTAATTCTAAAGAGCGCTTGGGCATCACGATGGTCACCAGTGTTCAAATCCGAGCTGAGACTAACTTGCTCTTGTTACAATAGAACATGGGCCACGCTCGTGTCCTGGCAACTATCCGAGTCACTGGTTATGACGACTTTCGCGTCCCTCAGCACTACTAGTATGATCGCATCGCACAGACTCGGCGGCGGCGGCTCGCTGAGTTAGGTGACTCACGGAAGGCATAGAATTCTCCACTTCCCTCAAAGATTATCATACAACCTAGTACCATCGTAAGTCAAAATTGGCGGTTGTGCGTTGCCTAGCCTACTAAGCCAGGCATGAAATCTATCAGCAGCAATGTTCAAAACCACCCACCCTTGAATCCGGGGTGTTCGGAGGTCTCGTTACCGACTGCAGTCTGCCAGCCTGGGTATTCAATATTCAGAATCAGGAACGCCAACCCCGCGACTTCATAGACAACAACACACCAACCCCTTTGAATTTCCGCAATACTAAAATTGGTTATAGCTAGCCCTCACTGGGATCCTGGTAACTATCCTGAGTATAGTCGGAACCACTCATGCACAGAAAATCTGAGTCAATAAAATTCTCCAGCAAAATGTTTTTGAAAGTCCGATGGGTATTTACCGCTTACGCACTCACCTGTCGTGCCCTACTCCTAGCACCCCACATATTGAACATGAACTTATGTGCCACTACATGTGTCGAAGTTCCTTGTTCCAAACAATCCACACCTCTCCAACGCCCTTTTACCCCTAGTTATACTTCTAGCCACATAGGTTCTCCTCCAAGCACTCCTTCAGTCTCTCCTGGAGGATCAGGTATGGATAACTTGGTGATATTATGATACAGATTGACTCATGAACCAATCACAGCGGCGGGCACAACCTCGGAATCGGACGACGATTCCTTCCCTTTGACACCTGATTCTAAGTGCTCAGGCGACACACGCCATGTCGCCGACATCTCAGGCAGAGCTGGACCATCGACTTTAAGTCGGTATCATAAGCAGCATCACGTTGACAGTTGTAATTATTCTTTCCATCCGTATCGCCGAGCAGCATCTTTTCAAGACCGGCGTGCCTTTGAATGTATGTTGGTCAGCTCTGACTGTGACAATTCATTGGGAGACATGAAGGGCAAGGTGGGTCCCCTTTTTTGGAATATATATATAATTCTTTATATGCATCACACTTCCAGACCGATGATTGGTTTTTGGCGCATATGGATGCGCTTGGACCCCAATCTTTCCGCCTCGTTGTTCACTACAAGGAGGCCGTCCGTGAGCGCCAACGCTTGGACCTCTTTGTGGCATACTGGGCACGAGAGGAGAGCAAAAGGCTCGATAATCTCCGCCAGTTCATGCTTCAGGCAGCCCAGGAAGACTTTGTCAGAGCAGAGCGAGAAACCTCGGTGTTAATGAGAAGACTTCTTGAGAAGCATCCGCCATCTACTGAAATAGATGCCCAATCTCTCGCTATGCTCAGCGACCACAAGAAGAAACATCTCCGCAGGACTGACGTTCAGCTTGACCTTCTGAAAGATTGTATCATGCAGAAGCAGATGGCAAGCTCACATCATGATGATCCAGACAACAATTCGGATACTTCTTGAGACCGCCTTGATGACAAGTGAGTGTTCGCCTCTATAAATAAAAGCACCTCATTAATATTTTTCCAGACGTGCACAACTACCCGTTTATGCATTGCTCAACATGTTCAACCGTATCGATTAGCGCTCAGTTCCTACTACTTTACGGTGTCACCACTTATCGTTTACTGTAGTAAGAGAAACACATTGTAAAAGCTGAACTGGGACGCAAGTGGAGGATGTTGTCAGATTTTCGGGCCTCATGATTGGGTAGGCACCGGGCATATTTTATTTATAAGCTCAGGTGCCGAAATAACACGATGTCACACAAGTGTGTGACACGCAAAATGACTGCTATTTGATGGTCCCACAAGTTCAAATACTAAATCAATTCTGCTTGGATAATCAAACGGGAATTTTTTTGCGTGTAGCCGTTCCTTGATTTACTTAGTTGTAGGCTTGTAGTTGAATAAAAGCTCAAATGTCAGGAAAAATTCACGCGCTTGGTCATGTCACAGACGCTGTACAGGTCGGAGGTACTTAGTCACATGTGCGCACAGATCGCACCAGCCGCCAGGTAAACATGAGGTGCCTACCTTATTAGGCGTCTGCTAAAAGTCGTTACCCATATTTGGCAAGGGCCTGCAAATTTCGAACGTGGATTAAATACGCAATATTATGTACTCAGTAAACGATTAAAATATCAGTGTGACCATATTATGTACTCAGATACCACGTGTTTTGCTCTTTGGCCTATTTTGGTAGTGATGTATTAGATATCGAATTCATGTTTTACGCCTCATGACTACATACTTCCTCGTTGCAGATGACGGCCTATTCAGTCCCCTCGTGTCGTCAAATGAATGTTTCCTATCGCGGAAATCTGCTCATGAATTTGTCTGACTTGGTCGGAGTCAGATTCAAGGTAATGTACAGATTTTTCAATTTCAATCTACTAACATTTGAAGGCGAACTGCCGCGGCAATGCGCCCCTTCGAGTCTGGGGCACAGCTACCCCCGAACGACGACGATCACTATCAGTTTAACTTTGCCTCCCCAGTCACTGCAAATCTGTATGGATTAGACGTACGGATGCCTGTACCCGTGCGGCCATGGCGTGGTTTCGCGCCACCTTCCGAGTCCAATGCGTCTGCCAGTGGCTCTGGCTTCCAGCCGCAACAGTCGTTTGTCAACTCCAACAATATTCAGCATGGCATTCCCTCACAGTTACCGTCTACCAGCAGCTCTAGCTTCCAGCTACAGCAGTCGCTCGTCGACGCCAACAATCGCCAGCACGACATCCCCCCACAGCTACCGTCTTCCAACGTCTCTAGCTTCCAGCCGCAGCAGTCTCTCATCGACATCAACAATCCCCACCATTATATTTATCCACAACTACAATCTAACTATGGCCCAGAGGCGCCCGGTTATTTGGTACCGCCCGCGTATCATCCGATCCTCAACGAGAGGCAGCCTCTCGGCTCCTTCTTTCCGGACTTCAGCCAGCCAGTTCCGTCTATGGGCAATGATACACTGTTACCAGTCGGTACCGAATATCGTGACGAACCACGTCGAGAGCGTATATTTGGAGTTGAGGGTACTCCGGGCCAAATGTTCAGTAGGAAGCGCAAGGGCCGCAACGACAAACCGGATACAGAGTACATTAATCAGCTGCCACAGAAGAGGATTAGACTCAGGGTACGTGATTTACGTTTGGTGCATCGCTGACCGCTGATATGCTCTCAGAGATCGATAGCAAACGCACCGACCATGGTCTTAGCAGATGCTGAGCAATTCGTGGTTCCCTCCTGGCCCCAGCTTGTCGCTTCACCGCCTCTGTTTGCACCCCCGGAAGCGGGGCCATCCACGGTTCCCTCCCAGTCTGTTGTTTCGCATCTTCCTTCTGCACCCCCGGAAGCGGGGCCATCCACGGTTCCCTCCCAGTCGGTTATTTCGCATCTTCCTTCTGCACCACTGGAATCGATACCCTTCACAGTTCCCTCCCAGTCCGTCGTTTCACACCATCTGTCTGCACCCCTCGATTCACAGCCATTCACGGTTCCTTCCCAATCCTTCGTTTCACAACCTCCGTCTGCACCCTTTGATTCACAGCCACTCACGGTCCCTTCCCAGTCCATCGTCTCACACCCTCCGTCTGCACCTCTCGATTCGCAGTCATTCACAGTTCCCTCCCAGCCCGTCGCTGCTCCGGCTGTATCTTTCCCCGATATCTCAGAGCTACCATACAACCTAGCGAACTTGGTACACCAGAAAATTGTCTCGTCCGCCACGAAAGCTATCAAGGCACATTTGATTAATACACATTCCCTATCAACCCATTTGGAAAGAAGGCATTGGGTTGAAACGAGATTGGAGGAGTCAGCTACAAAACAATATCATCATCCAGGTAAGCCGGTATACACTTACAAGGCTTTCTCAACGACTGACATTTTGGTTGCGTGTCAATAGAGTTCGGACGTAATTGGGCTGTCCGCAATTCGGCGACGTTGTATATGGCTCTCTCTGATCCCTGCAAAAGTCTTATGCAAACGTGCAAAAGGATCGCACGCTCCAAGGTGATATTGTACCATCTACATCCTGGAGTATGGTCGATGGCCAACGAACGCCAGTTTCGGACAAACAGGATCCGGGAACTTCTCAGCAAAGGGATGTTCCCACCGAGATTTACCTTCGGTGAGGATGAGTTCAGCAACTTACACTTCCTCCAAAACGAGGTGGTGTGGCATGTCCTCCTGGACACTGTTGCGGAACTCAAAATCCGCCGCCACATTGTCAATCTGGACAGTCTATTTTGCTTGGCTGCTGCCGCTGTCAGCTGCGCCTTGAACGAGCTCGAGAATGATCAATTTGCTCATATTGAATTTATGGCCGAGGGTTATCAAGAGTTCTACAATAGACTACTTAACTATCTTCAAAGGATGTCTAACGACCCAGTGTTTTTAGCCCGTTGGGAAGCGTTCAAAAAACGCACTTCGGCAAGACTCGCACAGCTATCCTAGTTTTTGTTTGCTTCCCTTACGACTTACGTACATTGGAGTGTACTGAACGACTAAGTTCACGTTGAATCCTATCTACGATCTGGCGGTAAATGTGTGAACGTTCGGACTCAGACGTTGTTTACTCCGTCAGTCAAATTTCAATGAGTACCACTACTACTACTAAGTACTCTGTCCAAATTCCCCACCACTACCATCGGTTCCTTCCCTCAGACCAAAGAGATTCGTACTGCCCGTGCCAAGCTTGGCAAGGGTGAGATCTCTGACTCGGAGGCTGAATATGATGAGTTCATCAAGAAGGAAGATTGAGCTGGTCGTCAAGTTCCAGGAGAAAGTTGGCCTTTTTTTGTTTGTTTTGAATCCTTGATTATTGTCCTTTGGGGCCGGGCCCTATGATGGACATTACCTACGCCTACTATACTTTTGTTCATTGTCCGTTATGTAATCTATGTGTCAGTCTTTTACAATGGTTCCGGCGCGAGCGAGAACAGTTTGGCCTTCTTCAGGTGTTGGGTTATTGGTGGAATCTGGGTTGGTCGCGTTCTATCTCTTTTGCTTCTATCTTGATCTTGTTGTAGAAGGCTTGTTTCAGCGCCGATTTGAAAGTTGGCCTTGACCTCCTCGTCCACGGCGAGCCTGAACGTAACGACATGGTTCAATACTTCGGTGAGTGACTGAACGGCTTCGTCTTCACTCACAACGCCTGGGTGCAAAACTACAGATCTCGGTCAGTATTGCATCACGAGGAAAGTTGAATGATCGAGCTCATTGTTTTGCCAACAGTTATGTCCATCCCCCATCATCGTGTTCGACGTTAGCCGTCCCACGCCGATGATCGTCAAGTGGAGCAGTTACGCGCAGAGCGTCTCCAGCAAGCCCATGAAGGGTACGCTTTCTGGCGCTGTCACCATCTTGACCTGGTCCTTCCCTCATGACGATGTTTCACGTAAGCTGCAGTCGCAGCAGCTTGCTCTTGCGCTTCGTGATGAGGTCCTTGATCTCGAAAAGGCTGGCATCAGTGTCATCCAGGTCGACGAGCCTGCCATTCGTGAGGGTGTTAGTGTTTTCATGTGATCAGATAAATTCGCTACTAATCAAGTCTCAGCTTCCTCTTCGTCGTTCTGACTGGTACTTGCAATGGGCTGTGCACACCTTCAAGCTCTCTACCGCTGGTGTGAGCGATGCCATTCAGACCCACTCTCACTTCTACTATTCTGACTTCGGTGACATCTTCCCCTCCATCCAGCATCTCAATGCCAATGTCATCTCTATTGAGTTCTCGAAGAGTGACATGAAGCTCCTCCAACCAGATTGGTCCTGGTGTCTACGACATCCACTCGCCTCGTATCCCCAGCGAGGCAGAGATCATTTGAGCGTCTCAAGACCACCCTGGCCATCATTCCTGATCACCTCATGTCCATCAACCCTGTAAGTGGAATATCAAGTGTTTTCTCTAAAGCCACCGCTCATATAAATCGACGCTTCCTTGGCCAACTTGGTTGCTGCCGCACACTGGGCCAGAGCTAACGCCTAATTTTCTACACATCGCGCTTCAATAGCGCCCACATAAGTGGTTAAATTATCATGGCCCTTTTATCGGCAAACTGGCCTACACTTGACTTTGGGTAGTTGTCGCAAGAAAAAGAAAACAAGGTCCGGCGATCTTGTCGTCGACAGGTACAGGGCAATAAATAGTTGCTACTTTGTGGGCCCGCAAAGTGCCTCGGCAGTGAGGCAGGAGCTTAGCGCGTCTATGCTCGTAGTAGTCAGATTTCAACAATCCTCAATGTACTGTATCGCGTTCCATGGAATGAATGATTTTAGCATGCAATATCTATTGGTCTCATAGATTTAATATATGTTTGAATATCATGAGAGTGAAGGTATAAAGATGCGTTGTAGATAAGAGAGACAGTGCTGACCCGGACTTTAATGCTACACACTCAACTTCGGTATGTTACCAACGTTTTGTTAGCTGTACTATGTACTAACCTCTTTCTTAGCGCCTTCGAACGCGATGACCTACAGCGCGGCGAACTGGCGGCAGCTGACCTGTGCACAGCCACAGCATTAATTCTCTTCCTCGACACCCATCTCCATCGAAGTCAACGCCGACTGTATCACGACGACCTTTCGAACCAGTTGCTGGTCCTGTTCCGCTCCATCAGGCGGTCTTTCAGCCTTCCGAGACGCACTCTAGATCCCGGTCTCGTGCAATACATTGATTGCAGCATGTCAATGCTCTCATTCAGCCATGTCCTGGCTCTTTTTCTCAGCTGGCACACGAAACGCAAGACTGGCAAGCTGCACCAGTGCCATTGCGAACATCTATGCACAGATACCTGGGTCACAAACCAGAACGGGCCAATTAGAAGGATATACACTTATCGTAAGTGTCAATGATGTCGTTCAGTTAGTTGGCTGACAGGACAACGCTAGCCTGCAGCACGACAGTGATGGTAACACTTGGTCGATGATCTCTGCGGACTTCACGCACTCCCAGGCCAGCGCCATGGAGTGCATTAAGGCTTTCTTCATCATCTCAATCGGCCAAGGGGGTCCTTCATGGGTTATTAGTGACACATTCCTTGTGAGTTTCCATCATTAATCTACGTTTTCTGGACCGCATTGAAAATTTCTACTCTATCTTCAAGTACAGTCCTGCTTATGTTAGTTTTGCTGCGCTATCAGAGACTGCTATAGCTCAGAATGGTGTCGAAGCTGCCGTACCATCCCCGACAAACGCCATGGTACGTTTTTTTTAAGAATATGCTGGGCTTTGTGAAGGCTGACTAGTGGTGTCGCGTCAGATTTGAGTGCAATCATTTTACCGTCACTGCTTTAGGAGTCAGGAAGGTTCCACTAGATCATGTCAACACGTGCGTCTTAATATCGGATTTTACTGCAAAGGATTGCTAATCGTGCGTGCGTGTTTGTGCAGGTACGCATCATTCTGGAGGGCGGTGAAGACGACCTAGTGCTGTGGGTTGTCCTCGGAGCGAGTGTCATAATCGTCTTTGTGGCTAAATTACTTCTTGTCAGTACTGTAATAAAGTACCTCATCTTGGTAGGTCGTCCGATCTAGTATCATATCATAAGTCTGACAACCATGAGCATTTAAGAAACACCATAGGAAGCGACACGTTGAGTGCAGACTCAGATGTTTTTAGCCGGTGAACGGTGTCCCCACTTACCATGACTACTGTGACTCATCTGTTCTCAGATTCACTGGCAGCATCCTTCCTCGCTTGATAGATATGACTGTCGGTAATGGTCTCGCACAGTTTTATATGCACGTTTCATCAAATTTTTACAGGGACACGGAATAGATGCTCTTGATATTTGTGGAATGCCAGAGACTGCGGCTCTCAGGGAGGGTGCTATCACTCCCCGAGAGAGCTAGCCTCGACAAGTATCACTCCTGTAAGCTCATCTTGTTTTCACAGCAGTGACAGCACTGACGTTGCCGTAGTTATTAATGAGCCAAGAGTGCCCAGCGAGTATGTACGAGACATATGATCTGAACTTCAGTGTTGGCTAGGCCATACAACAAGTTGGAAGCGATCCCAGACAGGCCTTCATCTCAACTTGGAGATAGTAGATAATTAGGCTTATCTAGAAATCTCTTCGCAGGCCATTTCTCCCATCAGCTAGACACGACCTTGAACATTCATTTAAAAGCTCGTTATATCCTCGCTACTGAGAAGCTAGTCCCACTAACACCTCGAAATTTTTACCTGTGTATCTATTACTATCTGAGTCCGTGTGACTCCACGGGTGAATTCGCCGTTCATCGGTTGCAGTATATTGGGTTTGTCAGTCACGGTCGCTGAAGGAGACGACTCCGAGTCCAACTCGACAGTGCGAGCAATGCGCTGTGTCTGGGTCACTGGCCTTCTAGTTTTTTTCTTTATTCTAATGGTGTCGTGTAATGCACCGGGTTGCTACTGGGAAAGGACAACTGACTCTCGAGGACTCAGTAGGCATCGCACAGCTTGTCCTTTCCACAAGAGAGCTAGCACTCTTGCGAACCAGAGGAGGCATACTCGCGCAAAAGAGGCTGTTGCATCAAATTTTGTTCAAAGCTTATCTGCAAGCACCTCCGAGCTAGTGAGTCACTGACTTTCCAATGTTTCGAGAGTCGAATTATACATTTGGACGCGACCGTTGACTAACTTATCGACCTTAGAGAATCTCAGCCGTCCGACATGTGAGGGACCGTCCGAGCCTGAAGCCAATGGCACCTCGCAGACTTCTCAAGCCAATGTCCATGGCCCACGGAGTACTCAGTGTTTCCACTCTCGCAGACTCGCACCCTTGTGACTCAGAGAAGCAGCAAAATGATAATCCTGATGTTGAGATGGGGAACAATCCTGGAGATGAGTTGGACTATAATGCAGGTTTGTGTCCCTCAAATGTAACCACTGTCTTATGATGTGCTTACAATTACTTAGATCTTTCAGAGGAAACAAGTCTCTTAACGAGGCGAATTCCGAGGCCTTTAGATCACCATGAACCTTCATACGATGATTTGAATCATTCTGATAATGCTGAGATTCCATCGACTCAAAATTTGGCTTCACTTCCAGCCCGGTCCAGAATCCAGCGTGTTCTTTTAACGTTAAGAGACACCCTCCAGACCACATTCAACTCATATGGGCTCTGCCGACTATACCCTCGTCGGCCTTCCTTTGAGCCAGATAGATTTGTTTCATCCTCGCTGCTCACAAGAACGTCTCCAACACCTGTCGATGAAAGTGATCCTCCGCCAAATGTCTTCGCGCCTCCTTACCCCTTCCCGAACATGACTATATATCGCCTTATATCCTGGATGAATTCTGGTAGCAACTTGGTATCTGAAACCAAAGTCTCGCGCCTTGTCAAGGATGTATTGCTGGCACAGGATTTTGACCCCCAGCACCTTGAGAACTTCTCCGTGAGGCAGAGCCTACGAAAATTGGATAGCAACGAGAACGGCCAAGAAATCACTTTTCCAGATGACTGGATTCGAACTAGCGTCACCATTGACATTCCAACGAAGTCAAAGGAGGACGGCCCCCAGCCTTATACTATTCCTGGATTCTACTATCGCCCTCTTGTCGAAGTGATACGCGCTGCGTTCGCAGATGCTCAAGCTCGGGCATTCCATCTTCTGCCTTTCAAGCGGCTTTGGAAAGATCCTTTGGACGGTCATGAAGAACGGATATTCGATGAGTTATACACCTCTGATGCCTGGCTGGAAGCTCAGGATGATCTTCACAAGCTACCGAGGCAATCTGGGTGTTCGCTGGAACGTGTCATTGCGGGTCTGATGCTCTTTTCGGACGCCACTCATCTCGCAAACTTCGGAACGGCAAAAGCATGGCCGCTATACATGTATTTCGGAAACCTAACAAAGTACGCGCGATCACAACCGCAATTGGGAGCGTGCCACCTTGTAGGCTTCTTACCTTCAGTAAGTTTATGAATGTCGCACGATTTTCTACCACTGATGATGCTTAGCTCCCTGACGGTGTGAAAGATGTTTTGAGTAAGCTATTTCGCATATCAAAAACTGGTATGGCTTCCCTTCAGGCGCACTGCCGCAGGGAGTTGTTCCATGCGTGCTGGGAAATATTGTTGGATGAGGACTTTCTTCATGCCTATCGCTATGGTATCATCATTAAGTGTGCCGATGGAGTGCTACGGAGAGTCTTTCCCCAAATTTTTACGTACTCAGCTGATTATCCTGAAAAGTGTGTTCCTTCCGGATTGTTCAACCATGTCGAATCGCTGATCAATCTACAGAGTTTTGATCGCGACTATTAAGGACATGGGTTTGTGTCCCTGCCCTCGATGTCTTACACCAAAAAGTTCATTTAGTTTTCTTGGGCTCGCGAGGGACATGAAAAGCCGAATAAGTAATTTACGAGTATATGTCATGGCGAAGGTCGTGAAGGCTCGCGAGTTCATCTCTAGTGGAAGCACTGTTGACGGTGCAAAGGTCGAGGATAGTCTTGGAGAGGGCTCTTGGGTACCTGTCCTGGTAAGCGCAGCTACTTCCTTACAATTTTATAATTGACTATACACTATTTTATGATAGAATGTGTTTGTCCAGAAGCTCGGACCATTCAGCCTTGATCCATTCCGCATGCTTACCGTCGACTTCATGCATGAGTGCGAATTGGGCACTTGGAAAGCATTATTCTCGCACCTTATTAGGCTGCTTTATGCCATCCCTGGGGGTAGTCAGCTTGTCGCGACCCTCGACGAGAGGTACGAGGAGTTCATATGGACTCGTATTGTGCACCTGTTGAAATCACTAACTCCCAATCTTACTGCAGATTTCGACACATCCCAACATTTGGTAATGGCGTAATCCGCAAGTTTTCAAACAATACCTCTGAGATGAAGCGATTGGCAGCACGTGACTTTGAGGACATCTTGCAGGTTTGCGAGTCGTGTGTTTTCTATCTACGATTCGCTAAAATGTTCTCAGTGTGCGATTCCGGTTTTCGAAGGGTTGTTTCCCGCCGAACATGATGCGGTAGTACAGTCTCTTCTGTATCAATTTGCACAGTGGCACGCGCTCGCCAAGCTCAGAATTCACTCGGAGTCTACGGTTGCTTTTCTCGAGGAAACATTTAAGAAACTATCTCAGAAGCTCCGCAAGTTCCAAGTTTACACCTGCGCCGTATTCAATACTGTGGAATTGCCCAAAGAAAAGGCAGCCCGTCAGCGAAAGGCCGCCGAATGCTCAGATACTAATAATACCTCTGCAAGATCAAGTGGGGCGAGGCCAAAAAAATTCAATTTGGCTACCTACAAGTTTCACGCGATGGGAGACTACGTAAGAACCATCAGGCTCTTTGGGACTACAGACTCTTTCACTACTCAAATCGTAAGTACTATCTGCCTTCACAATATGTACCTGAATTCAAGTCTGGCCAGGGGGAGCTCGCTCATAGAGCCCTCAAGTCATTTTATCCGCTGACGAGCAAGTCAGATACCCCTGCGCAATTAGCCAGGCACGAGCGTAGACGTCGTGCATTACGGCGGGTGGAAGAAGCAGGAGGTATATCTTTATCTAGCAATCAATCACGAGCCGACGCCCCCCCATCGACATCCTTCGGAGAACATCACCATATCGCAGCTAATAGGAATAATCCAATACAGCTTTTCGCGTTTCTCCGAGAGCACGATGGTGATCCGGCTATCAAGGTAGAAGTAGCATCACGCACCCCGTACTTTACTCACAACAGTTGTCAGAATTTCCTGCCAAAATTGAAGGACCATATCCTCTATAGATTGGGTGAGCTAGACGTCAGCTATTGTGACCACACCTTTACGGAGGAGGAACGTAACACCGTGATCATCCCTAACAACACAATATACTCGGTCCAGACCATGCAAGTGCACTATACGACTTACGACTTGAGGCGTGAATACGATACCATCAACCCCCGGACCCACGGCGATGTTATGGTACTATCAGGGGAGGCAGCGCCTAGCCACCCGTACTGGTATGCCCGTGTATTGGGTATATACCACCTCGAAGTATGGCTCAACAACGGGGATCAACCTGTGAAGCGGCACATCGACGTTCTGTGGGTTAGATGGATGGCGGCCTTGCGAAACCATAAATCTGGCATGAAGCATACTCGCCTTCCGAAGATTGCATTTGTGGAGGAATTGGACTTGGATGCGTTCGGTTTCCTTGATCCGGGGCAAGTCATTCGAGGAGCCCATCTCATTCCTGTGTTTGCCTCGAAACGTGGTACAAGCGCGCTTCGCCATGGAAAATCATTGGCACGTCCGATGGGGGAGCTCGACGACTGGGAGGAACACTATGTTGGGATGTAAGTGTGCATATCTTTTTCCCTGGCACCTTAATTCTCAAACTTTTGAGCAAGATTTGTTGATAGGGATATGTTTGTGCGTTACACTCACTTCGGTATTGGACATTCAGCCATGCTTCGGAAGATTGCTCAGGACACTCTCGGCTCTCATTCAGTGACAAGGGCCGACACCATGCACGTTGTCGACAGCGAGGAGGGTGAGGATAATGTCGAGGGTCTTGAAGAATGCGAGGATGTGCCAGAGGATGATGACATCGGGGGTCTTGAAGAATCCGGTGACGAGCTTAGTGATGAGGAGTTCGAGGAAGAAGACAGTGAAGAGTGTAGGGATGATTCGGAGGATGACGACTTCGACGATGGTTTTTGTTTCTAGAACTCCCTCCAAAACGCGTACTCCATCGCTCCAATTTCACTCGCTCAAGCTGTCAAAGCTAAGTGTTGGCTTCAAAATTGAACTGCACACATGTCGGTTGCGAATCGTCCAGCCTGATCATTAGCTTTTTCTCTACCTTTCCTTCAAGTTCAAGGTTGAGCCATGCAAGAGTCGGTTCCCGATCACAAACTTGAGTAGACCATTGCCTCTGTACGGTAAGGTCAAATATGATTATTTGATGATCGATGGCAGAATTACGCTGATGGGTGTTCTGGGTTGGCCCCGTGCGCTTCCTTTTATTCCTTCACACTTTGACAACCTGGGTCACACCTTCCACATCGATAACCACAACTATAAGACACCCTTCCTCACCGTCCATGGCGACGATCTAATCACTCTGCTCGTTGTCTGCCACCTTTTCATGCGCTTCATCTGCTGTCGCTTCGTTGCCCATGTTACTCATCGCTGTCACATTCATCGCCCACACCATCTACCCTATCTCTATCATTCGCAATCACTCATAGCACATGAACACACCTCTTTGCCAGCTTGTTTTTTGATTGTAGCCATTTCAGCAATCACTATCTCACGCTACCTCCCACGATCGTCCATACCACATTCATAACATTATACGACTATTGATGTCCCATTTCTAGTCTTAGCCGTCCCACATACTTGTTTGCAATTACCCCGCGCACCATTTTACCAATCTGATGTCCATAGCTTCCACTCCTCCGTCCATCCAAAGCTTCGAAGAGAACCTCCTCAATCGTTCGTTGCTCGATTCCCTCGAAGCCCAAGGAAACGCAGAACCCATTCATCCATCTCCGCAACCTGTTGTGTCTCACTCAAACTCTAACTCTGGTTCAGGAGCACCATCACCTGAAGCGCAGTTTTATATCCCACCTATGAATAAGCCTGATTTCCCCAACAATATCGATTTCAACGCCAACCACAAGAACGATCGTTTACTCCGCACTTCCCATAATTTTCATCTCCTCCCGGAGTACCGCTCAGACGACATCTCCGTCAAGCAGAGTATTGCGAGTAAGCCTTCAAACGACTTCGGCACTGGGTCGTTAAGGTCGTCTTTGAACGCCTATAGCAGAATCAGTGGTGGCAATTCTTCTAGTGCTGGTGTCACCGACTTATATCGCCTGCGTCAGCCAGATGGTCTCCCATCGCAACCTTATTCAAACACAAACGCGATATTTCGTTCCCATCAGCCCTTAAATTTGCAGCACCAACTCTCTCAACAATCTCAGCAGAGTACTTTTAGGTCTGTCGCATTCGAGTCGCATAGCGGGTACGATTTCAGAACCAGCTCTCCGCTAGGAGGCAATAAGGTTCCTCAACAAATTTCTTCCTTGGACCCGTTCCTCCAAGCGCATTCCTCTGAGGGCCAACAACAATCACAGATCCACGACGCTTATCATCCACTGTCGCACAGTAACTCTGGTTCTCAGATACCTTACCTGAATGGCATACACCTTCAAAGCCAGATGCCTTATGGTCTCCACTTACAGTCTAATGGTGGCGCTGCAGCAGTGTCAGCAAGGCCCATGGGTAACGTTGGGCAGATGAATTTAAACGTCGAGTCGCAGAGTGTTAATAGTGGACGGCCAGAAGAGATCTCGACCATCTTTGTGGTTGGATTTCCTGATGACATGCAGGTATGTGTCAAGCCACGTCCCGCAACTTCTGACAGCTTGTGTGTAGGAGCGCGAGTTCCAGAATATGTTTACGTTCTCCTCCGGCTTTGAAGCTGCGATACTCACGATCCCAAACAAGGAGTACACGGTGTATGGGTCGGTCAGTGCCATGACTTCGACAACTCCATCTGGTCTCCCTCTCCGTGGAGGTACCTATGCTGGCTATCAAGGAGGGGTTGTGATTGATTATGGACGAGATGGTTCAGCGACCTCCTGGCCACCCCACGCCATGCCGTTAGATGAGCCTTCGCACTTCAAAGTGGGACGAGGGTTAGGTGGCCAGCTACCTCGAAAGCAGATAATAGGTTTTGCCAAGTTTCGTACTCGTCAGGAGGCGCTTGAGGCGAGAGATCTGCTTCAGGGCCGCCGTGTCGACAACGAGAAAGGTGCAATTCTGAAGGCCAAAATGGCAAAGAAGGACTTGCACACCAAGCGAGGCATTGGTATGGGTGCCACGACATCCGGAGGTGGCGGAAGTGTTTATCTCATTGGGTGTACAATACTAACCAATGCTGGTACCGGCGCATCCTTGGTTCAACAATAATATGGCTACTCAAGATCACCCCCCCCCCTTCCATGGTTCTTCTCACCACCTCCCTCATCCACGAACTTCGGTATCGCACCTGCGTCGTCTGTTGACAATGCGATCGCCTCCCCTCGTGGCTTGCATGCCTTTGGGCTGCCTTCACATTCCTTCACTTCTCATTAATCGCATGGTTTAGAGCCCACTTTTTCGGACTGTCAACTTCGCCGTCGCCTCCAATTTTGTTTTCCCCGTTTCGCAACCATAAATCGTAATTCTCCATCCTACATACTCACAATCTGTTTTCCTCTTCATTTCTGCGTTCGTATCATTCGCTCCCACAGATTCAACTATCCTATTGCTTGTATGTCAACCTGCTGATATTTCTAACATACTAGTCTACCACTTACTGTTTTAGGTACCTTTGAGTTCTTGTCCCTGTATCAGTGAATTCATGAGTCCGTGATATGGTAGTCATGAGACCTATAGACCGATACAATTTTCACGTTCATCGCATATTTCGACTTTGCATACCACCTGTTGTTTGAACTTCGGGTTACCGCCCCAGCATTTTCTCGACATTCTCATCTACACGCGTTCCATACGCTCGTTATGTATTATAATAATGTATACTTATTAAGTTAGTAGTGCTTTTGATGTTGGGTTACGGTCACAGCTAGTCAATGATACCATCGCCGGGTGTGCAAGGAGCGTGTGTGAATTATGTTTGCTTGTATATTATTGTTTGTGCTGCGATCGCACGCCGATGAACGTTTAATCGACTACACTACCGATGGTACTCTGCATCTACCCTCAGGTGCTTTACGCTAGGCAAATGCAGCCATCCTCCACCATCTGTAGTTAAAGCCACTTCATGATTACGATAGCATGTGCAGGCTCAGCAGGATTGCTTGCGCCGGATCGATCTACATCCCTCACTGATAGTTCTTGGTTCGTTTGCAGATGCATAGTAGCGATGGGATCGTCGGGTAATCTTATCGTGACTACTCTATAATTGTTTGACTTATCCAAGTTTTTTCTTCAACCCTCACCAACAGGCCATACCATCACCCAGATTGTTAACATCAGCAAGCATGATGAACAGCTCGCAAGTGGCCTCTCAAACAATCACATCAAGATTCGTTGATTTGACAGGGCTTCATATCATAGGTGAGACTTTCAAACTTTTCTATGCTCAAGGCTCTGATGCATAAACTAGTCTGAAAACTGGGATCAGAGACTCTCAGAACCAACCATGGTGGTGCGCACTGGCTTGTAAGCTCATCTATCAATCGGGAAATACCCCAAAGGTGTAAAGGTTGGAAAAAAGGCTTGTGAATACCTACTCTGGAAGCGCGGCGGATGCACTCCCTGGGGGTGCTCAGCTTCGGGTGAAAGACACGTGGAGCTAATGAAGAGTATCTCTGCCAGCTAACTAGTTATCACCTTCGTCAATTGTCTTGGTTTAGCGAAAGACATGACAAACCGCATAGCCAGCGGTCGAGTATATGTTACAACACAAGTTATCATTGTTCGGGAGTTCATCTATGGATCAGGAAGTTATGTAGACGGTAGAAAAGTTGAAGACACCCTCAGAGAAGGCTTGCGGGTTGCTATTCTGGTAGGTGCGATGGGCTCCGTACTGGTCATGATTAGCTCAAACCGGCATTCACAGAATCGATTTGTAGAAAAGCTTGGACCACTAGGCCTTGACCTATTTCGCATGCTTGTGGTGAACCTCATCCCATCCTCGGGGACCACGGATTCCTTTACTACCCAAATTGTATGTATCGTCTAATTCCACTAGTACGAACTTGACGTTCATGTGCAGGGCGAGCTTGCACACTGAGCTCTGAGCTCTGAAAGTGTTCTAATCACTGACCAGCTCTAAATATCCCAGTGCAGGTGCCGCATGCTTTGGTGGGTTGCAGATGCGTGCTTTGGCGGGTTCCCGCATCGTATGCCGTTCTTTAGACCAACCGTTTGCACCATAGGAGAAACTTGAAATCTCCTTTGACAACCCCGAAGAGATGCACGACTTGATATACCGCTATGCAGAGGGCCTACAATAGGTTATGCACTACTATTACAGTGGGATCGCCTCATGGGGCTGGTTTTACAATTACCATTACGCACCACGGATATCTGGTACTTTTTGCATTCTCTGTCCTCATTGCACTACGTTCACGATTTCTCCAAGATTTATGCGGCCTTGGTGACATGTTGTTCGCATTCGAGCTGGGTAAACCTTTCCCTTTCAAACAACTGATGGGCGTCCTCCCACCCGCAAGCATGGATCACATTCCATTAGCATATTAAGTACGTTCAGTAGCCCTGTGTCGTGCATTAGACTAATCACTCATAGGATCTAATGTACGACCCAAATTCACCGATATTGGATTTCTACCCCCTCAAATTCGAGCAAGACCTAAATCGGAAGAAGCAAGAATGGCAAGCGATCGTTAAGATTCCCTTCATTGATGAGCAGCAGCTGTTACAAGCAATGCATTGTGAGTGACAAGTTCCACTTTTTGGCTGTAGTTTGTCATCACTCCATGTGTGCAGCCCGAGAACATAGGTCCGCCGCAATGACTTTGGAATCAGTACTAAATCTTTCTTCAATCCTGGAGAATCCACAGTCTAACCTTCATAGTTGCCAGACTTCTTCCCTCCCATATATTATTGCACGTGCAAGATGGAATCCTTCGATTTACCAACTCTTGATGGACTCCATCTCGTCTCTGGACTATGTGAAGGTGCATTCCTCGGTGCGGAAGCCCTCGCTGGATACATACGAGAAGTTGGTAATCGTACCTGGCACCCCGGAAAAGGCTGTTTCAAATCTGCATTCCCACCAGGGCTTAAGCCATTGGAAAGGCAAAGCTGAGCGGATTGAGACGATATATTCAAAGAAATGTGGAGTGATCACTAGTGACGTCGATGTCCTAGTGCACACCCGTCTGCTAAAAGGTGCGTGCTGGTATTTTATGGATGTTCGTTTTTACACATTCGTGCAGATTTGAAACGCTTGGAATCAGGCGCATCAGTTAAGGACTACGAAGGACCCGAAAAAGAACTTGAACAAGCTGTCTAGATGGTCATCTAAGAAGATCCCAGATTCCTCGAGAAGGATGCTCCACCTCTGTCGGAGGAATTTCCTGATGGAACGAACATTTTCTTCCTGGGCGAACATGTGTATGGTACGGCTGCCCAGGTATCTTCAACTACCGACAGTGCTTTGTCTGTTGTCTTGGCAGTATGTCGCAATGCCTACCACGATTTATCTTTCTAAATAACATCGTAGTTCTTCCCTTCAGATAAAACGGAGAACAACAAATTCAAGGCTATTGTCGAGAGCTGTGTTTCCCAGTACTACTTGCCATCGTACAAACCAGCTTCTGCAATCGGAATGTCGCCCAGAGCAGCTCTCTAAGATCTAAGATCACATCTAGCTTCATGGTTCTCGCCTCTCATCATCAAAAGAACAATCTTGGATTAAGCATCAAGTTCGAGCTTGAAGGTTATTGACTACTCGCGGAAGACTGGTCGCTATTTGGGAGTTTAGCGAGAAGGCAGTTGTCCTCATTCGTGAATATAAGGTTGGTCCTATCGAAATCGCATTTGAATTAATATTCAGTCCTTTACAGGACAAATTCCCAGAAATCTTCGCGATTCTGGACCAAGGAGGCGACGGTAAGATGTTAGACTGGCTCAACAATTCCTTGATCTCAACTCCAGGATAATAGATATGGCCCGCGATACGGACATCTTTGACTCACGCTGATGCTAGGGTCAAGGAAGTAAAGCCGTGGCTCAAATTGAAGGGGGTCCGAGATCTCGAGCCAGTTTCCCTCTTCTCGGAAAACTTAGCGAAGGTATATCAGAATTACCATTTGTACTGAATCGTGTTTCACTCAAAGCTGCCTTTAGAGCACTGTCAAAAAAATCGAACAGGTTGCTGATGACATCGATAAAAACAGGTCCAAAGCGACAATCAAGAAAGCTATTGTGAAGAACATCCCTCGCCACGCAGTTCTGAAACCATTGCACGCTATCTATCGACTTTAGAACCAGCACTTTGCTTTGGGAGACAGGGTGACTATTTGTTAGCTTGAACGCAGTCGATTGTGTTGGTTGGGGGGAGGTGGGATGGCTAACGGATGTTCTCAATTGGGTTTGTGTCCATATTGATATTGACACTGACCATTAATCCGACCGCCCTTTCCAAAATTTCAACACATTCAACAGCCCACGCCGCCATCTCGACACAACACCAATCCTTCTCCCCGAGTCCGTTTGTGCTGACTGCGAGATCTCTGCCCTCTCCCTTTTCTTCTCCCTCTCCCTCTCCCTTTTGCTCTCTCTCTCTCGTTTCCTCATCTTCTCCCCCTCCCTATCCCTCTCCCTATCCCTCTCCCTCCTCTCGGCTACTATCTTCCTCCCGCGATCGATACTGCAGCAACGCTGATCCACCCTCAGAGTCAGGTGCACAATCAGATACCACGATGGACCTCTTACCTCATCTTGAGGCGCCATCGTACAGGTAAGTCTTTCGGTTATGATTCGATGTTGAGATATTGATTTCTGCACGATACGATGCAGAGTGGTGAAATCGATAACGTCGATTTCCTTTTTCGGCGTGGGGCTTGTTTCGAAGTCCACCGCACCGTCTCCCGGACCTATTTCAACCTATCTCAACCGTTTACTGTTTTCAAAATCTTATCGATACAGTTATGCGCAACTACTCCATATACGCTTGCACTGTCACCATTCGTATTGTCGTATGCTTCGCGATCCTTGCCTTCGCATTCAAGTTCGACTTCCCCCCCTTCATGGTCCTGATCATTGCCCTGCTGAATGACGGTACTATCAAGACACTCTCAGCTGACCGTATTTTGCCCTCAATGACACCTGATTCTTGGGACTCGCTGAGGTCTTCGCGTATGCCGTCGCTTATGGTATCTATTTGACTGCCTCGACGTAAGTAATACTTTTTTTCACATCGCTGTCGAACTAAATCATATCCTGTAGTGTGGCTCTGGTCACCATCATCCTGGAGACTATGTTCTTCTATGACAAATTTGGTGTCACCTTCAATGGGAATCCATCTCCTTCTGGTTCCAATGATTATCAGCTCCACATGATCGTCTACCTCCAAGTTGCTATCATCTCGCAAGCGTTGACCCTTGTCACCCGTTCGCACGGTTTCTTCTTCATGGAGCGCCCTTCTGTTGCTCTCTTCGGAGTATTCTGCGTTGCGCAGCTCGTGTCTTCGATTATCGCCGCCTACGCCAATTTCGGCTTCACGCAGATCCAGGCAATTTCAGGTGGATGGATTGGTATTGTGTGGGTTTGGGTACGTATATCTATCGAGCCTTTTTCTGTGCCTTTGCTCACTCATGAATCCCTAGAACATCGTTTGGTTTGCCCCTCTCGACTGGATCAAATTCGCAATGAAGGCCACTGTTATCAAGAAGCTTCGCCAACATCACGAGGCGGCACAAGCGGCACAGGCCATCACTGGTGTCCCCATCACTTGCACCCAATCTCACGCTGCGTCGATCCACGAATCGTAGTTATAGTAAGCATTGGCGTTCGTGTTTCTTTGATCTTGAACTTTTTCTCCAGTGACGTCGTGATTTGATTTGCGCTTATCCCTTATTGATACTTTTGTTTGCTCATAGCCTCTTCCAATGTCACTTAGTCTAGTGCGATCGCGAGGTGTGCAACTGTATTTCTCATGAAAGGACCAACCCAAAAGTGCGGCAAATTCTATTTGACGATATAGATGTAGTCTGGTTGTCATTTTGTTGTGAGTAACATGTGAATCACCAACAACTGGAGTCAAGGAGGCGGAAAATAGGAACCAGGCAGTGCCAGGTGCCAGGCTCCGCCAGCATGATCTACATCATAAGTGCGCTTAGATTTGTTGGTCATTGCCAAAGCGGCTTTCCATTAAAATGGCTTGGATGACCTTGAAACTGAAACTATGTATAAGAAAAAATAAGAATAAGCTTGCAAGTTGACGCCATTCGACTACTGTGTCTTATTTGCTGGAATGTCGCTATACTTGAACCTTGTCATTGTAGTCACGTGGTCTAAACATGTGCTGGTCATTGCCAAGGCGGCTTTCCACTAAAATGGCTTGGATGACCTTGAAACTGAAACTATGCATAAGAAAAAATAAGAATAAGTTTGCAAGTTGACGCCATTCGACTACTGTGTCTTATTTGCTGGAATGTCGCTATACTTGAACCTTGTCATTGTAGTCACGTGGTCTAAACATGTGCTGGTCATTGCCAAGGCGGCTTTCCACTAAAATGGCTTGGATGACCTTGAAACTGAAACTATGCATAAGAAAAAATAAGAATAAGTTTGCAAGTTGACGCCATTCGACTACTGTGTCTTATTTGCTGGAATGTCGCTATACTTGAACCTTGTCATTGTAGTCACGTGGTCTGAACATTTGCTGGTCATTGCCAAAGCGGCTTTCCACTAAAATGGCTTGGATGGCCTTGAACCTGAAGCATATACGAGACAAACTGAGAATGGACTTGCAGGGTGAGGGTGCTGGACTATTGTATCTTACTTGCTATGATGTCGCTATACTTCAACCTTGTCATTGACGCATCTTCTAAGTCTAGATTTGCACGGATCAATGGTCATTTATGAACAACACAAATTTCTTCTAGAATACATAGATATATTTGGCAAAAGCGTAATTGTATCGGTCTATAGGTCTCATGACTACCATATCACGGACTCATGAATTCACTGATGCTGGGCTGACTGATTCTGAGTAACGATGGCGGAAGCTTTCTGAAGAACTGATCGGCGACAATTCGCGAGTCCATTGATTATAAATACTTCACAGCCACTGGAGGCCTCTTGCTAAGAATGACTCATAATCTCTGCGCAGGTCCTGTACTAAATATGAGGGAGTTGTGAGGGAGCATCTCAACTTTGGTACTGCAGCGTTGGCGGAGTCGTTGCAGGTTCAAATGAAGAAGTGATGAATCAGAGGACAGGATGAGAGATCGGGAATTCGAGCAAGCGTTCTGTAGTGACAAACAAAGAGAATTTTTTGATGCTTGCCGGCAGGTTGCAACTGTGATACGTTGGTCGTAATCCATTATGCATTTGTTGGCCCCAATAGATTGATCGATTAAGGTTTATTCGAGGCGAAATGCATTTGCGACAGAAAGCATCGCGGCACGTCTCCCTAATGTAGCAATATTCATGATATGATGTCGTGAGCAGCAAGGGTCACCATTTCGGTTTAACTTATAAGTTCAAATTCACCGCCCTATGGCACCAGGGAGGAGTTAATATTATGTGTGAACAACTGAGACCATGACCATATAAAAATCACACCAGCCTCCTCAGTTCCTATCAACTTATTCTCCTCTATTAGCTCGGTACACCATGAGTCTATTGAAGATCCCCTTCATATTAGTTTCTGCCATTGGGATTCATGTCTCGTTCACTTCTCCTTCTCCCCCACCGTCATCTAAAGAGAAGGTGGTGCCCTCGTTATTCGAATTCATCATTGGATGGTGTTTGAAACTTCGCGGTTTGGAGTTGATGAAGGTGGGTCGCTCCTCAACATCCGAGTCGGTCATTGACTTTATTAATTTGTGGATAATATAATAGATCGGCGCGTGGGGGGTATCGTCTGCTGAAGTGGCTAACATCTTGGCCATGTATATAGCGCCCTCGCACGATATGGAGGGCATCAATGGTGCTAGAGCTGTGCAGCTTTTGCGCGTTCTTCGCCCTACACCGATCACCCCCACATTCCTTGTCGCCAGTATTGCCATCGCGATTGGTGGTGCACTAAGGCTTTATTGTATGGCAATGTTAGGAAAGCTTTGGAGCTTCCAGCTCAGCATCAGAAAAGAGCATAAACTTGTGACAAGCGGACCGTACTCGGTGGTGCGCCACCCAAGTTACACCGGTCTCCTTCTCCAAAGTGCTGGGATCGCTGTCATGTACGGAAGTCAAGAATCGTGGATGAGACAGTCTGGGATTTTACCAGTGCCTTTCGTTGAAGTGTTAGTGACTGGCGCTTTATTGTTTACCGCATTCAGCGTTTGGACCTCCCTCAGCCGACCTGCAGTGGAGGACCAGATGTTGCAGCGCGCTCTGGGAGAAGACTGGGAGAATTGGGCAAAGAAAGTGAGGTACCGGCTTGTTCCTGGGGTCTATTGATTACATACATTATACCAGTCGCTATGCGCGTATCTCTTTGTTGGAAAACAACCGGTCAACACAGTACATGATTTTCTTTCTATTCAACTTAGACACTCCTTTTACTATGCCAAGCGGATTTAACATATTAAACAAACGGTGATTGTAAACGCACCAAGCAGAGATATACCTGCTTGCCCCACTTCGACAACACAAAGACGGCTTGGACGCTGAGTGAGGTTGAGAGCGGTAAATTAAGGACATTCGGCTGATGAGTATATTTAACATGAACTCAAAGGCATTGTGGGATGTGATTCGGCTTCGCTGTCAATGTTGAGTTGAGATCAGAAGGAAAGTGAGGAAAGGCGAACAGCGAGGAATGTGTCTGGATGGAACGCCGAAAGCCTTGAAGCTTTGAGCTTGCGGAAGTTCACCACGAAAGCCAAACAATAACAAATACGTCCATGTCACTCAGTAGTGCTTGACTAGCACTATTCCAATGTTCATTTCAATAAACATATTTTCTCGCATTCAAGGTACCAATCTCTCATTGCACAATAAACTGGAGTAACTTGGGTTCACATTGAGGCTGTTGTCTGTTCTTTGTGTATGCTCCAAAATTGCAGGTGCCACGTCAACTTCTTCTATCTCAAAATAACATCCTTCATACACGGATTCAAACAGACTGACTCGAGACCAGTAGCATACTTATTTGCTCACAGGACACGCGGCTTCCGTTTTTCTGAGCACCTAGTTTGCATTGTGCTACCAATGTTCCCTCGTCTTTTCAGTTTGAACGACCATGATCAGATGGGCCAGGTGTCGTTGCCTCGGGTATTATCCGTACGTATCCCTCTTAAAACCATGCCATCAGTATCTCGTATGCTATTTTCGCTAAAAATTCCATGCTCATGTTTAGAGGGCCGTTGGTGTGCTTACTAGGCAGACACCTACCCCGTTCTTTATGATACCGACAAGTTAACTTACTGAACTTGTATTCCATGTTGTCATGCATACCAGCCTTGCGAGACGGGTAGTTGCGACAAGGGTAGCTCAGCAATTGAACAAAAGGCGAACTCGAGGGAGTAGCCGTGCCAATCCACGTTATTCTTGATCTTGCAAAGTCATCGTCATCGAGACAGGTGATATGGGGTGTTTCAATAGATCAAAAAGCCATTGACCTGGCATCCTCATTGTCAAGGTGATAGATAGGCTTGAGATAGGCCGCATGTTTTTGCTCGGTATAAAACTTTCTCCGAGTATAGTGTCAACCCTGATGAGAACAGGTATAAAATCAACGTGGTTGAGTTTAAAAGACCTCAAGGACGACCACCTCTTGTTGCAGTGAGTAACCCTCTTATGTCACACTACGCATTTCATTGAACCAACATATAATATCTTCTAAGACTTTGTTATAGAAACTTCGCGCACAGTGCGGCACACTGCACAATCAAACTTTTGTCGGTGTGTAATTTCCTAGAACGGTGGCATTATATGCTGAAGCATGATAATCATACCAGATACTATGAAGCTCGTTCGAATTGTTTACCTCACAATTCTTACCGCTGCTAGTGCCACTGCTGCTAGTGGTGCTACTGAGGTCTTGACCGCAGATTCTCCTGAAGGAACTGTGGGATGCTTCCGGCCGTGCACTGCTCAGCCACCTTCGAGCTGCCCGCCAGGGACATCGCCTTACAAGCGGCCGCACGACACGTGCTGGGTGTGCTGCTACCCTAGTTGAACTTGAGGTCAATCCGGTTACATTTGCTCTCAATACATGTCAAATGTGTGTCCTGTACCGTTTTACGCCAAGATTGAATATTTAGCACGGATAACATTTCTCGGTGAAGCACAAACAGAGCGCAGTTGACTCTCTTTTAACCAATCTTGCTCGACAACTGCGCTGCGTTCAGAGATGGCCGACGGTCGTGCATTGATCCGAAGCCATGGTCCACATAGTGAAGCGTAGTTGGCGTAGTCACCATTTCTGTCAGGAACGCCATTACCACAAATCCACGAGAAGGAACTACCGCTCTCGCATCCAAAAGCACTCGTTTGTACCTTTTCTTCCTGTCACTCTCTATTGTCTCAAACCGCACACAAGCGTCAGCCATGTCATCTGCCTGACTTTAATACAATATCTCGTTTAAAATCTGACAACTTGTATTAACTGGCAGACAATTAATGTTATACCGGAAGATTCGGAACGAGAATAGGATGTGTGAATGTCCCTGAGCGTAAATTATACATGGTGGACACTACATACAGTATTCTACTTTATCGCCTGCGGCTGGTCTATCTGCTGTCTATGCTTTATGCTTCATGGCGGCGGCGTTTGATTAGAGTGGCACAATGCGATTGCTTCCCTTTCCTCTGCTTCTTTTTCCCGCTCTCCTTTGGAAAGGTGACGTCTCCGAAAATGTGTGCCAGTCCTTTTCGAGCGTGCGATGTACTTCAGCGTTGCTCTTATACCCTTTCAATGTGGCACTGGCACGGTCCTACTTTATCTCTTAGTGCGTCTCGTTGTCGAGTGAATGTGGGGTAGACGAGCAGGAAGTGGTGAACGGATTTTCTCATGTGCATTATATTTTGGGTTGGCGATTTTGAAATTCGGCGGAGATATTTGTTCAGGGAGATTAGTAGCTTGTGAAAGACGATCGATGAGTAATGCTTTCCTGGTAGGGTTTCGATCTTGCTTGCGAACTTTTTCGACGGGGCTGATTGATCAATAGAGGAGGTGAGCGTATCTTGGTGATTTGCGTATGATGTTGGCTGCCTCGTCTTTGATTTTCTGGCACAGAAGTGCTACTTTAGCGCTGTTTTGCTTCGTGGAAGCATTCTGATCCGCGGACTCATTTCCCTCGTAGCCTGGGGTCCATCTGATAATATGTTAAGAACGAGTATCAAATTCCAAAAGATACCTCATTATCTCTGCACAGCGGCCGCAGAACCACTGACCTACTAATGGCATAGACGAATTGCAGGTACTATAGATAAGGAAGCGACGAGTGAGTGAAAGAAAAATGACGTGGGATATCGACCGATTAAAATGAGGACTATTGACAAGAATGACCACCACCATCTCAACTTTGGCAGAGTCATTGCAGGTTCAAATGATGAAGCGATGAATGAGAGGACGGGATGAGACCGGGGATTTGAGCGAGCGTTCTGTGGTGACAAAGAAGAGAATTGTTTGATACTTGCCGGCAGGTTATGACACGTTGGTCGTAATCGATTGAATACGCTCCTACATGTTATACCAAAATTTCTGCCAAATAGATCAGTTATGCCCATAGGTATTCGCAGGATATAAAAGCTGACCGTCCTCCTACAGTGTTCCCTCATCCTCAGAGACATCATTCGAGGATTAAACCACATGACTCACCTGCGCCTGCGCGCCTTAGGGTGAAGGTTTGATCTGCCAGATTCCAGTTTAAAATCGAGCCAGCAGCTCGAGGGGCACGTCGCGACAGTGAGTCATGTTTCTGCTCTCGCTTTGGTATCATGGTTGATGGTGCAATACCTAGTTTGACTCGGAGCCAATCAGTACAGTTACTTTTGAACAAATTTTCGTAGTCCTCGAGCGATGTGCATTGTGGATGTTTGAATTTATCCAAGAACGATCAGTCTTGCTTGTGGTCCACTAAGCTTTTCATCGAGCGAGCGTTGGATGGCGTGCAAGGGTGGGCGGCGCATCAATGACCTGTGAACAGATTATATTGGTATTCAAGGCAGACTGAGCACCGTAATAATCGACGTAAACCTGTAAGAAAAATGCACAAGCACAGGTGCATCATGAAGCCATGTATGGACCCAGCCTGAGACGGAAATGAAAGTACTGGCCTCCTTGATGCTAGCTGACATATTGTTCCAACAGAGCACAAATGCACTTGCTGGTTGAGTCACACTGCTGATCATGCCATAGTGAACGTGACTCATCAGGATAGGTGGGCCACCAGGCGAGGATTGGCCAGTGCTAAATACGGACGATTTATGGAGCGCAGGAAGAAAGTTTGCCCTTGCAAAAGGTTATAACTGGATGTTACATTCAAGTTGAGTTTCAATTAAACAACTTGAAGTTGAATCAACGTTTCGCACTCAGTTCAGGCCTTGCAGCAAGCTCAGTCACTTGTCTATACAAGCAACTGTTAGATGTACCTATTGAAAATATAGGCTACACCGTGAAAAGAGAACGCCGAAGTCATGGCGGTGAGAGACATGCGGAGTACATGTAGAGTTCAAGTAGACGCGAATTGCTTCCGCGGGATCAAACGTTATCGGATATATCCACTACGACGACGTTAACTATTGCAGGATAGACCTTCATTAGAATCATCCATTCACAACTGGCCACCAACAGTTCTGTGAACTCTTGTGATTGGGAACAAGCTTACCTCTCCTTACCTACAAACAAGAGTCCCATAAGCATAGGCGGCTGTTACAAATCGATGTTATCAATTTCATCTATTTTTGTAACCGCTAGTAATCACATTCAGTTGAGAAGTCGTCATTGAGTTTGAGTGAATGACCTGACAATCGAGAAAATGTGCAAATGAATGTGGCTCAAGTTCTGCTTCGCTAGTTTTTCCCTGGGAAAAGATCAGCAGACCCGTCATATTCGGTCATTGTTTGAGTTGTCATTGCAAAGCTCACCGCTTATCGTAGATAGTCTTTAAAAGTTCGACGAAAAGCCATAAAATTGCGATGAAGTTAACCGGTTCGCCGAGTTCGAGGACCTCGCAGATACGTTGCTAAAGATGAGACCCTAGATCATAACGTCTCCAAAGATCACGAAATTACGCCATTATGAGACAGGGTCGGTGGAACCATGGACTTCGAGACTGGAAGTTCCACGGGCGAATCACTTGTCGGGAAACCATCCCGACAAGCAAAAGAATACTCCGAAGATGATCCATGGCGGGTCCCTTGATTGGCACCACGAGTGCGGACGACCCTTGACGTCGGTATGATTTCATCGACCTTGATTGTGCACTCTTGATTCCATAACCTTCGGGACTTCTGCGCCCACAAGCAGGATGAGGAACTGATGGGAAAGAAGTTTGACCGAGCACTGAAAGAATACTTATCTTTAACAGCATGCTCATTGCTTTACGAACGTGGCTATGAAGATCATAGAGAAAAAGGAAAAAGTACATCTATTTCTGATGACTCCACGCGGGGGAAGGGCATCGAGGGTATTGACGTGTTAGTCCAACTACGGGATATCGTAGCTAGAGTTGTGGTTTAAAGCTTCCAGATGACACGCCGAGTGGAGCTGCCCTATATTTGAATTTGGCAGTGCCACGACTGCAAGATCAAGAAAGTCAGTAGCTGATGGTGCATAACTTTGTGTGCCAGGAAGCCATTCAAACGGCTTCGGATATGTCAGATCAATTGATCCAGTCAACGAGCCACCCAGTCCCCGCGGGT